ATAAATTACACTCAATCTACAAAGCCCCAGTGAACAATACAATAACAGCAGATGGCAGTCAGTGAATATGTGTCTAAAGATAGGAGTAGTGAGTTCCCTGTCATGTAAGGTGTTCAAGTACAGTGGAGTGAGAAAGAGATGTGGTAAAATGTACTCAAATTCTGAATGACTCACATTCTAAGACCACTTTCACCCTGAGATCCTGGGATCATAAGAAGTAGAAGACAGTGAAATTAAAAGTCACTTAATGACATGCAACAGTGTCTTTGAAAAAGTGATAAGACTACTATGATCATCAGGGTCCAAGCAGAAAGCCAATGATGCCTCAATTTGGGCAATGTGAGGAGAGAATAATAAAGACACTGCTTTTAAAAGTGTGGGCAACCTAAGGGGGTAACACAACGACCCAGGGGTTAGTAACAACTGTGGTAGAGCAGGAGCATCACCCTTCATTCTCCTTAGGCCTACAGGTATGAGAGGGAGGAGCAGTTACAAAAAGTGAGAGAGAGAGAGAAAACATGTGAGGAGAGGACCCCCAACAGGAGCTCTGACTTTTATCCTTAGTATTGTGGGAGGCAGCAGAGACCTGCAGGACGGACAAGGATGGGGAGACAATTGATCCAGAGGGACAAAAAGAAGACGGGAAAGGCAGATGCTAAAAAAGCTACATAAGATTGAGGACAAACAATGGAAGCTCTAGACTAAGTGAGAGGCTGGCAAATCTTTTTTCTAAGCTCCCTTCCAAAGGATGCAAACTGTATGTTTACTCATGGAGATACACAGACCTATTGCTTCTAACCATCATTTTATTTCACTGGCTCTTTTTCATTCTTCAGGCATCAGCCCTGGATTTGTTCTCTGAACTAAGTACACAACTGCAGTATAGTCGTCCTTTAGTGACATGCATAGTAGTCTTATCCACAGAGGGGGATCTATAGGGGATTGGTTCGAGGAGCCCCGTCCTCCCTACCCCACAGATACAAAAAGCTTCAGATGCTCAAATTCCTTACATAGACTGGTGTAGTATTTGCATAAACCCTACACACATACTTACATATATTTTAAGTCATCTCTAGATTACTTATAATACCTAATACAATGTAAGTACCATATACTGTATGTTATACTGTATTTTTAAATTTGTATTATTTTTTGTTTTTATTTTTTGAATATTTTCAATCCATAGTTGTTTGAATCTCTGGATGCAGAACCAGAAGATAAGGAGACAAATGTATTTGCTCCACCCAAAACAGTAGCACTATACATGTCATAGAACCAAAAAATCTGAATATAGAACCATCCAGCCTACCTTAGGTAATTTTCCATCATACATCCTTGCTACTTACTCCTTTGGTGAACAGATGTTTGATTATCTCCTATTTGTCAGGCACTGTGCTGACATGGGGATACAATAAGACAAGTCCATCTCTGCTTTCACAGATCTTTCAGCTAACTATCAATCATTCCAATCTATAATATTCCCTGTTCAGCAAGGAATCGCAGAACCTCTCAATCAGAGGTTGGCAAACTATGGACCACAAGCTAAATCTGGGTGGCCTGTTTCTATAAACCATGTTTTATTCAAATAGCCATGCCTATTCGTTTACCTGTCATTGCTTTTGCACTACAACTTCAGAGTTGAGTAGTTGCAACAGAAACAGTTATGGCCTGCAAAGCCTGAAATATATACTCTATTAAATAAATATTTATTTTTTCTGGCATTGAACAGAAAAAGTTTGCCAAACCTTGCTCTAAATAAAACCTAATTCTTTAAGGATGGTATACTAAAAGACACATACTGTCACTTATAAAACATCCCTGGGTTCCCTAGTTATAGACCATATAATGTGGGAGTTGGGTTCCTATAGGGGAGTATTTTTAATGTTGTAAGTTTTGGGGTTTTTTTCCCTTTTACTGTAAAAGCAGGTAGCAAAACATATTCTGTGGATACTATTTATTAACAGTTTACCTTCTTCAGGTGATATTAACATTGCTTTATATTACATCTAGTTTTTTGATTTATCAGAGTTCTTCTACATCATAGGAGGCCCATTTTTAAGAAAATATCCTTTTCTCTGAATCATACCAAACAAATTTTGACAGGTATGATTTTAGTCTATCTTTTAAATTGAACAATAAAATTGATTGTAAAAGCACTTAGCCAACACTCAACTGCTATATAAATGCAAAATCATAGCACCAATACTACCTTCACTTCCCTGCAGATACATGAGTGGATGCTTATTCCCCAATCATTTGACCCAGAAAGCATTAAAATTTTAAATAAAAGAAAAAACGTCTAGCCTTCACTGGCTATTACTAAATATTCCTAATAAGAAGTGACAGGCCCTGTGCTCACTGTGGTTTGTCCAAAGGATGTTAAGAGGCTAAGTCAGTAGTGGCTGTGGCTGACCATCGATTTGCCCTTCCCAAAACCTTTTCCTTTCTCTAATGGGAATCAATGTAGCATGAATAAAATTAAATGGCCACTTAGTTGACATTTAGTCACCATAATGCAGCAATAACTGGCTTGAGAAATGCCCTTGCCAAGTCTTAGTTCCTGAAAGTTTTCCCACCTCACCAACCTATAGGCAAAATACATTTCATGTGCTGGAGAGTGGAGACACAGCTCAACAGTGAACAGAAAACCAGGACTGAGTTTATAACAGGGCAGGAAAAGGCAGCATAGGGGAGGGATGGCTGACTTGGTAACAAAAGAGATCTCTTTTAGGTACCAGCTTAAACATTCTATTTTGAAAATGTCTTCCTTGATACCCTCAGGTCATGTCAGTTCCTTATAATAACAGGTGCTCTTAATATTCCATACTCTTCTTTACTTTTCTTTCTTATCAGTACAATTAAACTCCTTATTTAATCAAGTGTTCAATGTCTATGTCCCTCAGAGATAAATGAACTCCACTGAGCCTCTTACCTGTCTGTTTAGAGCAGAAATCTCTGGGGCTAACATAGAGTGAGCTCTGAAAAAGTAAGTGACCCAAAAAATGAATGGATGAATAAACAAGCTAGATCCTAGGCACTCTGCTGGCACATCAGAAAGCTCTGGTTATTGTGTGATATTGCTCCTCAAAAATAATGGCCAATATCTTCCTGTCCTTATAAGCTATAAGCGATGTTCTAAGAATATGCACTAATTTCATACCAAACACTTATACCTTTTCCACCAACCATATCCTCTCTGCTCTTTCAATCTCTTCCCCTGTACTAACTTCTACCTTTCCCTATATAATCACGCTCAGGTTGCTCCCAGTTTTAACAAAGAAAACAAAAACAAAAACCTCTCCAACACCCTCACCTGACCTAGCTGTTCGTACCAAGGTCACAAATGACATCATAATTGCCAAACCTCAAGGCTGCTTGCAAAACCCCAGGGATTCTACTTTTATGCAGCATCTCATTCTGACCACCACTCCTCCCTTCCTGAAACACTTTGCTGATTTCTTTAGCAGCACTATATATTCCCTTGACTATCCTTCTATATCTAAATATGTGTCTACTTTTTCCTCAAACCATTAATATATCTTGTCTTTATGACTTTATGACTGCATCAGCCTTCTGATCTCTCAACCCCCTGCAATCTATTCTCCACAATGCAGTCATATGTATGTTTACCTCAATAATGCTCCAAAGTAACGTGACCTAATTGAACTGGCTCTGTTAAATTATGACTCTGACCTTCTGCTTCAAGCATCCTGGTACAGCAGAGTTTAATGTACACATGACATACACATGCCCTACGAAAGAGTTAAAATATTCTCTCTGACCTTCACTACACTATCCACTAAACTTCTAACATCTTTATATATGCCAAAACATGGGATAAGGAAACATTCTAAGATTTAACAAGTCTTATAAAACACTGTTTTTAGAAAGTTGATTCTAAATACTGGCATTCAGATTGTCATTCATGAAAAATTAAAAAATTAAAAAACACCCTCAGAGTCAATTGGTGCTTCTGACCTTCATTTCCTAATTTTACATCTGAATTATGTCATTTGTGGTCCATTACCCTGACCAGATTATACATTGCAATATACAATGCAATAAAAAATTGCATTGACCTAAAACTCTTCTGAAGCAGTAAGTCTTCCCAAATAAAAATAAGTTGAATAGTGGACAACACCTCACAAATCGCTGTCAAGGAACTGAATGTCATTGTAGTCACATAATACACTGTAAATCTCTCCATTTTAAATAGAAAATAAAGCAATACAGACAAGCCCCTTAAAAGTGACCAATGTGTGTGTAATGAATTTGACACAAATATTGCTATTGAACAATAAATGCTGTTCATGAAGAGTCCATGTGTTTTTCTACATGTGCATTTTATGAATATTAAACAACTGCACATTGCTTTATTGTGGTTTATTGCCTTCTTGTGGTCCCGGGTGCAATTCAAGTCCAAAATGTGTCTCTGCAATTTCAGACTATGAAACTATCCAAAGCCTTTCAGTCCAAGACAATTCTCCAAACTTATTTCCTACCACTTTGGACAGCCCAGACACATTAAAACATTGTTTTCTCCCTATATGCCTGGCTTCTTGCCTTTTACTCACTCTTTCCTTTGTAACATAGTTCCCACTCCTGCCGGTATTTCCCAAATATCTGTTTCTTTTATCCCCTTAAATAGTCACCTCCTCCAAGAAGCTTCTCTGCGGAAGCCCCATGTCCCACACCACTTTATCTGATGCTTCTTGTACAATTTCACCCTTTACCCTTACGTATCTCCATCTCCCTCCTTCACACAAGCCTGTGAGTCCTTGAGAGAGGATATCACGTCTGTCCCACCTTTGCCACCGTCTGTCCCACCTTTGCCACCAACAGCGCGTTAATAGAACGGGGGCTTCGGGCAAGATCTCAGAAAAGGCATTGGCCCATCACACCCATCGCCTCAAAACGCCGGCCTCTCCTTCTCCAAGAAGCCTCGCGGACTATTTTGGTGCTCAGGCCAGGTTTAAACATGCCCAGAGGGTGGCACATACCGGAGAAATCCACACACGTGGCAGGCCGATGCTTCAGCGGCTCCACTGCAGATGCAATCAAATGAATGAGGTCAGTGGACACGCGCGGCCGCGCTGGGAGCTGCACGCACACACCCCTGCGAATATCGCGAGCTCAGGTCTCAACCCAAGGCACGCGAAGGGCACGCGGGCCCCACAGGGGCAGGAAGCCGGGGGCCTGCGCGCGGAAGGGGAGGCGCTCCGAAAGGTTGGGCACGGCCTGCCCAGCTACCCTCGGGGCTCCCCCAGAGCGGACGGCGCCCTCTGGCGGGCGAGGAGGCGCTGGGGCAGACGCTCTCTGCCATCCCTGCTGGCTGGCGGAGGGATTCTGAGTGCTGCCACGCGGGTGAGGAATACCAGAGCCCCCGCCAGCGCCCAGCGCTGGCTACCGCTAGGGGGCGCGAGGCGGGGAAAGACGCCAGAGACCACAAGCCCCAGAAGGCCCTGCGGCCGGCTCGCCTGGCGGCCTGGGTTGGCTGCGGGTTCCTAGAAGCCCACTCCAGAGCCGGCCCGAGAAAGGGGCCTCCCTCCAGCAATTCGGAGGAGCCCAATGGGTGCTGCAGACCCAGCGTTCTTGAATTTGGGCTCTGCGAAGGAGACGGCAAAGGCCCGGCCTCTTCACTCAGGAGTGCGCCCCCCAGGGTCTGACAGCCTGGAGGTAAGATTGAGGCCTTCACGAAAAAGAAGAAATAAAAAAATTCCGTGGAGAGACTTCGCGCCGAAATAGACGTATAGATTCCAGTGGGGGAGCAAGACAAGAGAGGGGGGACTTCAACAACTGATGACACGATGAATTATAGAACAGTTTTTCTTTTTCCAAGAGTGAAATTAATTTTTTATTTCTTACAAGAAATCATGGTTTTTCTCAGTTTTCTACCTCTTACGTTGTATTTTAGTTTATATTCTTTTGTTTTGTTTTGTTTGAGACAGAGTCTTGCTCTGTTGCCCAGGTTAGAGTGCCATGACATCAGCCTAGCTCACAGAAACCTCAAACTCCTGGGCTCAAGCGATCCTCCTGCCTCAGCCTCCCAAGTAGCTGGGACTACAGGCATGCGCCACCATGCCCGGCTAATTTTTTCTATGTATTTTTAGTTGGCCAATTAATTTCTTTCGTTTTTTTTAGTAGAGATGGGGTCTCGCTCTTGCTTAGGCTGGTCATCTGCTTGCCTTGTCCTCCCAGAGTGCTAGGATTACAGGCCTGAGCCACCCTGCCCGGCCTAGTTTATATTCTTAATTATCATTTTTTTCACCTTAGGTTATTCTAAAATGCCTTCATATATTAGGAATCTGAACTGGATTCTAAGAATCCTAAAGGTAGATTCTCTGTAGTCTATAGTATTACACACACTGCTTGGTTGCTATTGAGTAGAAGTGTCAACATATATTTATGGAATAACATATCAAGCATTTCTAGAGGTCTGTTTGGCTTACTTTGCTAAATACATGTTATTTTATTAAGACATCTATTTACATCTAGTTGTTGTAAATTTATTTAAAATGTTAAGCATCATTGCTCTAACCATCTGCCCATTAATGAAAATCAATGATTTTAAGTCTATTGTAAATTGGTTAATATTAATATATCATTCATCATTCATCCTGCAGAAGTAAATTTCAGATAAACTAAGATTGAATTTATCTTGAGCTCCAAATTAATGAGCACTAAATTAATGATTTACTGTATTTGCAGTTCTTACTGAGAAATGTAAAATTCAGTCATCATAGTTCATCTTTCACAAAGAAAATCAAGAGTCAAATAGGGTAAATGTAGCAGAGTTGTCCTGTGTCACTGCATGTGTGCAATTCCATTTCAATTCTCCTCACTCATTCGTTAAACAAATTGAATTGAACTCATATTATGTGCCAGGCACAGAGTAAGGCATGATTTTTGCCATATGCAAGTGCACATTCTGGTAATTAAAATAAATGGGTAAGCAGACCATCAACATACAGTGCAATCATTGAAATCCTGTGGGAAGCTGCAGACTCAGTTTTAACAAAACCTTATCCTTTCTCATCAAGCCTTAGGTAGGTATCTATTAGCCTAAGTAGCATTTATAATTTTCTTTGAACCTCTGAAGATGAGGTGGTTATAGACTTTACAAAAGTGTATAACAGAGAATAACTTTCATAATATTGTACAAGTTTTCATACTAATTTTTGTCTCCCTCATTTCCACTGGGAATACATAATAGGTAATCAGTATGTGTTTGTTGAATAAAGAAATTAATGGCTTCTGGGTACTTAATGTATTTGATTCTGTGCCTGTTAAAAACTACTTTTCTAAAAATGTCATGGGTCAGTTATGTGGGCCATGGTCCAACCCATTTTTCTAAAAAAGTTTATAAAATAACAGAAGAAGGTGAAGATGTGCCAAGGTGCACCTAAAGTCTTTTAGCTATTCCTGTTATTCATTACATTTAAATGCAGAGGATTTGAATGCCGCTTAAGCAGATAGGCAGCACAGAATGTCTTACAAAACCATGCTTCTCTCATGTCATGGTTTTATGAGAGCAAATTCATTAAATTTCACTCTATATATTAGAAAAGAAAATTATTAATGCTACCTATGTATGAATTTTCAGAGCCCAAATAAAAACAGAAAGGAAACTGGTTTATCTCTGTAAAATATAAAACCTTAGATGAAGAGAAGACTAAGCTATTATTAGCCAGTTTAATATAAACCAAAATAAGTAAAATGGATAAAGTAAGTACAAAAAGGTGATCAAGGAACAATATTAATTCTTAAGAATTCTAATGAGTGCCCTGACTCACACATGCAATCCCAGTATGTTGGGAGGCTGAAGTGGGAGAATGACTTGAGCCTAGGAGTTGGAGGGTACAGTGATCTATGTTATATTCATGCCATAGCACTCCAACCTGCTGAGTGACAGAGGGAGACTCTGTCTCTAAAAAAAAAAAAAAACCCTAAGAATTCTAAGACAGGTAGACGAATTCTAAGACAGCTAATCCTAACATAATACCTGATAAAGTGTTGTCAAATAGAAATGTGAATTATTTAAAAAATGTCTAATGCTTAAAAACATTATTTTTAAAAGTTAAACAAATTTATATTATTTTATAGTACAAAATTACCAAATTGGTAGTAAACTGCTCTATCACAAAACAGAGAAATGTCATCAATAATTTCTAGGCCAATACCCCTTACAGTAACAGAAAAAAAATTTTAACTCTGTGTTTGATTTAGCAGTCCAAGAAACATTGTTAGGTACTAAATATAAATAAGAAAGCCCCTGTTCTCAATGATCTTGCAAACTAGTAAGGGTGCCAAATTTTACCATCAAGCATGATGATTAATAAAAATTAGTAAATACTGAATACACCCACTATGCCAGGTAATTATGGACTACCTGATTTAATTAATCTTCACAAAATCCTTATGGGGCAAGTACTGTTTTTAATACTTATTTTACAATGAAGAAACTGACTCAGATTGATAGGACATTCAGCTTGTAAGTAGTGGAGTTAGAACTTGCACCCCACTTCATCTTACTCCAAAGTGCATAAACTTAGCCCCTTCACTCCAGCATACTTAGGAAGCCAGCTCAGTTTTTCTTTAGCCAGTGCCCTTTAATTCTAGTATTAAAAGCTCCCTATTCAGAGTGTTCTATCTACTAGTGCCTTAATATTCTCCACGGTATTTGAGGCAGCTAGCTCTATAACTGTTTTATGTATTTTGATTAACTGCTTCTCAGTCCCTTGGTCCATCTTCTACCTGATAACTTTGACACCTACTTTTGCTTCATATCCATATTTGTCATCACTAACTGTTCTAGTGCCATACTTTCTTCAGATTGCTATAGTAGCTTAATATAACCTTCAACAAATTATGAACCCATGATTGTAGAATTAACATTTTACCACAGAATCCTACGTATCATTATCTTCAACAATTCAGTTTCTGTTAACACAAATTATAATAGTAATTTGTAATATCATTTGTATAATTTTTAGCATACTCCTGATGCCATCTTGCAATTTTTTCCCAACCTTTGTCAATATGGCTGGTATCTTTGATTAAAAAGAGCAAAAGCCATAAAAGTTTACAAGTGTTTAAGACTATTAAACTACAATAAATATGAAAAAATAAGAAGTATATGTTTTTAAAGTACTTAACTTTGAATCTTAAAGTTTATAATTGTAGAAAAGTATAAAGATTAAGAATATAGCTGAGGAAAGAGTAGAACGATGAATTACGTCTCTTTTACATATACCTAAAATCACACACTGTCAAAAGAATTATTTCCCAAATTAAAATACATTACTTACTTATACTTGTGAAGAATTTTCAAAAGTATTTTATTTGAAATTTGTATTTTGAATATACAAAGAATGTTAGGCTTTTAGGAGAATCATAATGAAAAACAAAAATTGTAGCATAAATAATTCTTTGCCATATGAATATTGGTCCCTAATTTGTATATTTTTCAGCTCAGTATTTGCATTTATTTTTTCCCAGAACAGCACATTAGTGAATTTGTTATCTTTTTATATGACAAGTTTCAGTTTTGCCAACTGAATTGATGAAAAGGCATACAAAACAAATTCGACTAAACCATTAACATACAACTACTATAGAAGGCATGTTAGGTCTATTGGGAAAGAAGAAAGGTGCTCTGTTAAGATATCAAGTAAAAAAGCAGGTTGGGCTTTTGCTGAAAATCACTGAGGCATGTTAACAATTTGGAAAGGGGCTTTAGAGATACATATGGTAAAACCTTCCATGGAGATGAAAGAGCTTGCTCAGCTGTTATAGAATCCATTGTGACTTCCTGAAAGAACAGATAACAAAGGTAAGGCAAAGAGGTGCTATGCAGAAGATGTAATTTTAAAGCGTTCCATTTAAATGAAAGAAATATGGGAATTAGGCAGAAATATCAAGAAATATTCAGAACTCAATTCTGATAAGATCAATATTAAGAAAAATGCAAACAAAATTGATTTAATGATGGGGAAATTTTTAAAATGACAATTGTTTGGTCCTATTTAATAATGGAAATATTCTTTATAAAACATTCCAGGTAAAATATTGTGTTAAAGGAATATTAATACTATTTTCGGGGAAAAAACTCAGCAATCATTTTCAAGGGAGAAAAAAAGCAGAGTAGAGGCAAATGTAGTAGTGGAAGAGTGATTCTATGTAGACACTATAGTCCATGGCTCAGTAGAATATGTAAACTGTCTAAAATAGAAAGATTGGTATTAAAAATACTGAGGGATAGAGAAAAGCCTAACTCTCGTCATATTCTTTAATCTAGCAATACATTTGTTTTATCCTTGGTTGAAATTAATTCATCTTTTTTTTTTACTTTGATAGCAGGCATAGAGTATAGTAATTATTAATAGGAGCACGATCTCTGAACTAAAATGGCCTGGATTAGGCTTCTAGTTTTGCTTCTTACTAGCAAGTGACCCAGCATAAATTGCTTGACTTTTATAAGTTCAATTTCCTAATCTATAAAATGGAGCTGATAATATTTGCACATATATTAAATGATATAATTTGTACATAGCACCTCAGACAGTGTCCGGAACATGCTACGTTTTAAATAAGTACTAGCTATTACATATTGCCTGATTTCTTCTCCTGCTAGTAATTTTTTTAAGGAACTCCAAATATAATAGTAAATAGATTACTGTAGTACATATTGCTGTTTGCACATCAGCAAGTGAGCATGGACAATTATTTTTCATAACAGAATTCTCAATTCTTTTTATTCTCAGTAACAACAGTTCATGAGTGAATTTGGATTTACCAAAGCAATACATACAACTTTTGCAGTAAACCTTTCCCAACCCTTTCCTCATGCATTGAAACTAAAAAATCACATAGAAAACTATTCCCTTTGAGCACAGTCTTTTCCAAGTAAAATTTATTGTAGAAAGGTGCAATATAGATAGAAAAATTATCACAAGCATCCAAAATAACCTTCTTACTTCATTGTGTTATCAAAATATGAATTTTAAAGAGCTGTTTTAAGATTATCTAAAATCCAATATTTATTCAGAGAGAAGTTTGAGTAACCAGCAGTGTTACTTTTCTATGTGTATACTATACAGCAAGAGGGAAGAGAGAAAACTGGGATATGTTGAAAACAAGTTTTATTCATTATTTTTCTGTTTCATCTTCTGTTTGTTAGGTATTTATTTGCATATAAACCTCAACCCTAGGCACTGTTTAAGCTGCAAACCTGATTTGTGAAGACAGTGACAAGTGAGAACAATATCTTTTATTGATGCCTCACTCTTTGTTAAGGGCTATATAAACCTCATATGGTATAACGCTTACAACAACTCTATGAAGTAAGTATTCTTATTTTATGTTCCTTTCATTAACAATTTACAGAAGTTAGCATTCCAAAAGTCACCCGGGCATTTTAAGTAGCAAAGTAAAGGCTCTAACCCATTTCTGACACCCCTTTACTTTGAGTAGTAACTTTCTGGCCTCTGGTTTATTTCCTCTAGCTAAAAAAATAGTCCTATCCTCTCCTCTCCCCACCCTCTACATCCCTCCCCACCCACCGTACTTCCCACCCCCACCTTCCTCACCCTCACACACGCTGAGATTAGATGACTTTGGTCTGGCTCAGGACACCTAATTCTAATAATCCATCTTCAGGGTGAAGTGAAACACAATCTCATGATAAACTATGGAAACTAATTATACCCTAAAACCATATCCCTGTGTATTCTATTGGTTAGCCAGCATTCATTTATATACCTACTTTGAGATGATCTCATGCAAAGGGTTATTGATTTAATTCTAGTGGTATTTCATTGTTATAGTGGAAGGAATTTGCACTGTAAATGGCAATAGGCATTTTCTTCTGCATGTACACTATATAAAGTAATAAATATATGTTGCTCCTATTGCTAACTCGGAGCCAGAAACATGCTGTTTCTACTTGCACTATTGAAAGGGCTGTGATGTCCTGGAAAATGTATTGGATTTAGAGACGGAGCACCTGGGATTTAATCTGTATTCTGGCATTTATTGCCCTGTAACCTTGAGAAAATCACTTTACCTCTCCATAAAATAAAGGATTTGGGCAGGGTAGCTCAGAAATTCCTCTCTGCCCTGAAATTCTAATTGTGCCCAAGACCATATTATTAATTTTCAAGTTGCTTCAAATTTCTGAAGTTATCTTTTTATCTTTCTTCAAAACCTCTACATTTTCTGCTATTCTTCCAGGACAAAAAAGTATTTCCACACTCCCAGTTTTAAAAAAATGACATATACGGCCATATTAAGAAAAAAAAATCAATAAATATATAATGCTGGTTGTGTGTAGAATTTAAGTGCATTTCAATTTGTTACTAATCTTTGGGTGTTTTGGCTTATCAATTGCAAAAATCAAGCTGCCTTAATTGTTCTTATAATTATGACATGTAAATGTTGTGTCATAGGGCCTTGGGGACACCAAAAACCCTGTGTTCATTTCTTAGTGGCTCATATTGGAATGCTGAATGTACACACCTGTGAGGTGCCATTCAAAACACTGAGCCATCAGTATAGGAATTGCAACTAAAGAACTCAGAGTCTTTTGGTGAACACAGAGGAGGTAGCAAGAATTACAGAGTAGCCTGTGTTTTAGTGGGGCCACCACTGGGTGCCATGGAAGACATGGGAATGGATACCCGACTCAGTTGGAGGGAGGATGTTAGGAGTGGCTTTTTGGAAGGGGTAATGTGAATTTTGAAAAGAGAAGTAAAGTTAGGCCAAGAGAGGATGAACAATATTTTGGGGTGGAAGTGCCCAGCCCCAGATGCCAAGCCTAATGTGCCCTTTTATACCAGCATGACTATCAAAGGGTATCTAATTTTAAATTGTAACTTCGAAACAAAAAGAAATTAATTCATATCGACATATTTGTTATCAAAATAAGATGAGCTGTGCTGATAGACTAGTGATATTTAAATTTTCATTTTCTTACCTACTATTCAACTCCCTGCTGCAATAGTTATCTCCAATTATATATTGTGAAAGGATCTTTAGGCCCTTGTATGCTCATCAGAAATTATAGTATTCTTATTTATTCTAGTGTTTACCTGTTTTTTCAAATTATTCTCTTTCGGCTAAAAATCGATAGCTTTTGTTCATGTATAATAATTCATTTTAAGAGTTAAAACTGAATGTCTGATATTATATCTCTAGATAACTAAAGCCCTTTGTCCTCAATGATTTCACTATTTTATTATCTTTTAGAAATGCTACTTTATTGAGGACTGCTTTTTATACTACCTAATGCTACCTCCAGATAAACAAATTTCAAAACCCCAGCTGGAGGTGAATGTCTTCCTTACATGTTATGGCAAACTCATCAGAAGCTTATTATCTTCATCTTTTGTTGCTCTTGCTTTCAAATCCATCCTCAAGCAAATCCTTTCCTTTTGTTTGTTTCTTGGTTTGATAGGGTATATTAATGGATCAGATGCAGCAACCATGTGAAAACATATTTGGAAGAGCTAAAACTTCATTTATAAATTGTTCCTGTCCTAACATTTCATAGAGTTGCTATGTCTTCATGCATTACCAAAAGAAGCCTCTGACATCCACAATGATCTTTTCTAGTTTTGAGTGACATCGCGTACCAACCTTGGCTGTGATCCCTGTTACACAGCTTTTCTTTAAGCATCTTTATAGATGAAAAGAATAAAAAACAGGAAAATGGTAATTGAAATATTTACGCACGTCTTAGAATTAAGAAGAATTAAGAATATTTTAGAGACTACTTTTCAAATCCAATCTGTGGAAATATTAATATTTGAATGTGTTGATCCAAATAAGTGTTTTCTTTTTTTTAAAACATCTGATTTCCATTTTAAATATTTTGATGAATCAAAATCTAATGATTTCTTATATAAATTTAAGAATATCCATCAGGATTTTTATGAAAAATAATACTAAATAGAAGTAGAGGTTAAGGAAGCTGGCAGAAGAAAGCTGTGATATTAAGGAATAGTTTATTCTCTTTTGATTGTATAAATTCTTGTCCAAATGTCTTTAAAACATGAATGATAGGACAGAAATGTTTTGTGGAAATAGTAAAGGAAGTGTAGAAAACCCTTCTTGAAGTCTAGTCCTGCTTCAAGCTTGAGGCACACATATCTTCTTCCAATTAGCTATTCATTCCTCTAAATGAGTTATTTAAGAGTTACAAAGGTCCTACAGCCTATACTTTAGTATTGTTGATTAAAACTGTGAATTCTAGAATCACATTTCTTCAACTCAAATGCTAGCTTTCCAACTTATTGACTATGTCAGCTTGGAAAAGTTACTTAACCTCCCCAAATCTCAGTTTTCATATCTATAAAATGAAGATTATAATAGGGTTGTTGTGAAAATCAAATGAGAGTAATTCTCTTAAATTGTGAAGCAAAGAGTATGTTACATGGAAAATGTCCAATATGTTAATAATTATTAAAAGATCAATAAGACATATTAATTTCCTTACTATATGCAAGACATCCTACAGAAAGACTGTGATATCTGTTTATTAGAGCCATCGACGGTGTATGAGTATATGTCAGGGTGATATATGTGTATTAGAGGAAAAGGTGGAGAGTATCATCCCATAGGCCATCTATGATTGTATATTCCATTTCTTTTCTGAGAAATATTCAATAGTGGGTTTTGTTTATTATGTACACAAGCCCAAATTTAATTTAGAAATTTATATTCAAAATATTATTTCTAAATTTAAAATGGAAGAGAAAATTGGTACAAATGTTCTATATTTCAAATATTATCACCAGAAGCATATTATAACTATGAACAGAAAAATTGCTATATTAAAATGCATAAGTCAACACATTAAGGTTCTATGTCACCTAAGTAGCTATTAATAATTAATTTACTTAATCTAAAATATAAAGATTGTTAAATATGATTAAATAGTCACTTGTTTCTTATATCAAATTTGATAAGCTATAATTTCATTTGTTTTGAGATTTAAGATAAAATATACTCAAATAAAAATATTTCCAGTAAAATATAAAGAGAAGAGATAAAATGAATGTATATTTTAAGGATGGTGCCTTGCACATTGTAGGTAGTTAGTAAATATTTGCTAAATGTAACTAAAATATACAAAACAAGGTTCAGAATAACTAAAGTAGCTTGAAGAACAAACCAAAGAATAAAAATAATGTCCTATTTAAGGTTGAGAGGCCATTTAGAGAAATTTTAAAACTGGAGCTGTATTATCCACTCTCCTATCAATAGCCTTGCATTTCTAATTAAATTTATAATTTTGCAAAGAAAGCTAGCTGTATTCAGCATGCATCTTTTAGCTTTTAACAATTAGGTGTGCTACCTTCAATCTTGTAATATAACTTCTCCTGGCTTCCATATTGCCTCATCTGTAAAACGATGATGATGATAATGTTCTATGCTGCTAGAAACCCCCTGAATGAAGAATACCTGACAAGACTTAATCAAACTAGCATATCTCAGGCCCTGTTTTTAGCCTTCTGAGTAAAAATCTCAGAAGATGGGCCCAGGAAGCTACAATGAAAGAAGGCTTCATATAGTTCTTATGCAACTAACCTTTGAGAACCGCCGTTCTCCAGAGTTCCCATTAATGAGTGAATGAAAGGAGAACCTGGTTAGCATCAGTGAATATGAGTTAAGCTGAGGCATTCTTTCTTCCGTGAATAAAATTTAGAGACCTAATGATTTTCTTAAAGATTAAAAAATAATAATAATAATTCCTATGTACATAAAAGTAAAAATAAATACTATAATGTAGTCAATTATTGCCTCCAGAATCAAATAAAAAGCAAAGAAACTATTTTGTTATGTAATTAATATATTACAGGCTCAGAAATTTATAGTTATTCCTTAGAATTTAAGCCTCTCGTTACCATAAATCCTTAACTTTGCTACTATGTTTATATTTCTAGTTTTCAAATCCATAGAACACAAACTCTGTGGCCAGGTCTTATTATAAGCACTTTTACACATTTTAATAAATTTAATAATCATGCAGATATGCTCTTTTGATATTATATGAGTTTCCATTCCAGTACATGCTCATACTGGCTTATCAAAGGAGGAATTAATAGGTAATGTGCTTTCTTCACATGGTATTCCCTCTTCAAAATTGGAATGTGAACAAGAGTATGATTCTGTTTGAATCAATTCTATTTGGCTATTTGGCTGCCTTTTTACAGTAAATGTGAAAAGGCTCACACAGAATTTATCCATTATATATAAAAAAGGAAGCCAAGGATCCAAGGGAAAAGTAATTCAGAAAATATTCATCTCAGAATGCATTTTCTAGCAGAAATCAAAAAAATTG